AGTCTGCGTCTCTTGTTCCGTGAGGGGACGCATCTTGGCGGATTTTCCGTTTCGTCGACTCTCGGGGTGTTCGGTGAGGGAAAGACGAGGAACTTCTTCAGAGATGTCAAGTCCGTGCCGAGAGTGGGATGTATCGCGATTCCAAAGGTTGGAGTAGCGGCAGAAACCCAAAAAATTTCGGGCGGTCAAAGAGGCTACCGGGATTATAATTGGCTCAATGTGTCAAAGCTCCACTAAAAAGTTCTCGACAGTCCCTCTTCTGCTGCAATGTCCCAGGGTCCCATCCAATCCACCTCAGCATCGAGAAATCTCGAGCAGAACCAGACATTGACGGACAAGGCCTCTCCCCCCCTCCGACACCCGCCCGTCAACAATGTCGTCCTCCAGAGCCCCAAAACGCCGTAGGCTCACGCCACCCCCCGAAGACGACGAACCGAAATCCCGCTCCTCCAAGAAGATCCAGAAGCAGTTCTTCAAGAGCGCCGCCGGATGGGACCTGGAGCAGGACTACGAGAACCGCAAGCATAAGAAGGGCAAGAAAGACAAGAAGGAGAGCAACCGCCTGCCCATCAAGACCGCCGACGGCCGTATCGAGCAATTCCGTGCGCTCGAGGGCGACAACGACGATGCCGCTTCCGTAGAGAGCGACGGTGATTGGCTTGAGGGTAAAGAGGACGAGGATGCCATCGCCGAGGCCGAGGCCGAGAGGCTGCGACAGACCAGAAGGAAAGAAGAGGAGGAGTCAGACCTGCCGGAGCACGTCCAGATTCTCCAGGCCAAGGAAGAGCTCGCCAAGATTGCGACGGCGTTGAACGAGGACCCAGAGGAGAATGTCAGCGCCTTCAAGGCCCTGGCCAAGATCGGCCAGTCGCGCATCCCGACCATCCAGAAAATCACCCTGGCCACCCAGCTCGCCGTCTACAAGGACGTCATCCCAGGCTACCGCATCCGCCCCGTTGCCGAGGATGCCCCGGCCGAGAAGCTGTCCAAGGAGGTCCGCAAGCTGCGCGCCTTCGAACAGGCGCTCGTCTCGGGCTACCAGGGCTACGTGAAGGAGCTCGCAAAATGGGCCAAGCTCGACATCCCCGCCACCCGCAAGAACGGGCAGAGCATCTCGAGCGTCGCCATCGCCTGCGCGTGCACGCTCATCAACGCCGTGCCGCACTTCAACTTCCGCACCGACCTGCTCAAGATCCTCGTCGGCAAGCTGTCGAAGCGCAAGATTGACGCCGACTTTGTCAAGTGCCGCCGCGCCATCGAGACGCTCTTCAAGGAGGACGAGGAGGGCCGCCCCGCCATGGAGGCGGTCGCGCTGCTCGCCAAGATGATGAAGGCGCGCGAGTTCGCCGTCGACGAGACCGTGGTCAACCTGTTCCTGCACCTGCGTCTGCTGGACGAGTTCGCGGGCAAGGGCTCGCAGGACCGCGTGGACCACGAAAAGGACCCTGGCGCGCCGCCGCCGCGCAAGGCCTTCAAGAAGGAGTTCCGCACCAAGAAGCAGCGCAAGCAGATCAAGGAGCAGAAGCAGATCGAGAAGGACATGCAGCAGGCCGATGCGTTGGTCAGCCACGAGGAGCGTGACCGTATGCAGTCCGAGACGTTGAAGCTCGTTTTCGTGACGTATTTCCGCATCCTCAAGTTGCGCGTCCCGCACCTCATGGGTGCTGTGCTCGAGGGTCTGGCCAAGTACGCTCACCTGATCAACCAGGATTTCTTCGGTGACCTTCTGGAAGCCCTGAAGGACCTCATCCGCCACGCCCAAGAAGATGCCGAGGGCGATGCGGAACCAAGCGCCGAAGAAGCTGCTGCCGCAGAGGAAGAAGACGACGACGATGCCGTGGCGCGCAACACCACCCGTGAAGCTCTCCTCTGCACAGTAACCGCCTTCGCTCTGCTCGCAGGCCAAGACGCGCACAACTCCCGCTCCGAGCTGCACCTCGATCTCTCCCACTTCGTCACCCATCTCTTCACCTCCCTCCCCGCGCTCTCCATGAACCCCGACCTCGAGCTCACCTCTAAATCCCTGCACATCCGCCCCGGCGCCACGCGCGACAACCGAGTAAACCTGCAGACCACAACGGTCCTCCTCCTGCGCTGCCTGACGGCCGTGCTGCTGCCCACATACCAAATCCGCTCCGTACCACCGCTGCGACTCGCGGCCTTCTCGAAGCAACTCATGTCGGCAGCGCTGCACACCCCTGACAAGTCCACACAGGCGGTGCTGGCATTACTGCAGGATGTGGCGCACACGCACGGAAAGAAGATCAGCGCGCTGTGGAGGACGGAGGAGAGGAAGGGCGACGGCATGTACAATGCGTTGAGCGACAGTGTAGAGGGCAGCAATCCGTATGCGACAACGGTATGGGAGGGGGAGCTGCTGCGAAAGCATTTCTCGCCCAAGGTTAGGGAAGGTGTCAAGATACTAGAGAAGAGCATTGGTAACGCATGATTCTAAAACAGAGGCGTTGGGAATAAAAAGAGGTTTCTTTCCATCATCTGCTCGTAATACCCTACGAAACGTAACTGTTGGAGCGGACTTGATACATGTACGTTTGCTGTAGTACTCCATGTCACCGAGGGGCGCAAAATTTCTACGGAATTGTTGATTGACTATCTATCTACGAATCGGTGACTGATCCATCATTCATTGAGCAAAAGTGGAAATCGGGTGGTTGATATCCTTGTGGATAAGGCCCTCGATGCTTCAGTGCACTCCTCAGTCCAAATCCAGGGGGAACCCAATGCCTCCCAATCCTGAGCAAATGTTGCATGCACTCCTAACCTTGTCCGCCATTTTTTTCTGCTCTCGTATCTGGTCTGCGTTCCGTCATCGCAGGCAGTGGTCTTTTCCAGCATCTCGAAGTATGGTTGCCAAATGGCATTATTACCGAGTGTCGGGGTACCAACGTATCGTCATTATCCGAACATGTGTATCATCGTAAAATCGTGCGAAGGATCAATTGCTGAGAAGAATCGGCCATGCCTTCAATCATAAGCACGTGGAGTGGAGGTGTCGTGTCAACTTGCTGCCTGCCGAACCAGAGGCGGACGTCAGCAGAGCAAGTCTGTTAGCTGTATGACAAACAGCGTTCCGACTCCCTTCTCGTCTTGAACCTCATCAAGCCCACATGGAGCTGCTGAGGCCGCGACTATGGCCGGTCTTCTGCGGAGCACGCTTTGTAGCAGCTTTCTCGGCATACAGGATAACCTCGAGGTTGTCCTCTTGCTCAGGCAAGGTGGCAGGAATAGCTCCAAACCACAAGGGGTAGTCGTCCTTGCACTTCTGAAGGACGGGGCAGTCCTCGTTGCTGTGGGTCAGAATAATGGCGTTCACAAGGAACTTCTGCGGGTCCGTAAGTGACTTATCGCCATCATCATCGACATTAAACATCGAGGAACTGAGTCCATGCAGACCACGGGGTCGCTCAGGGCAGTTGCAGGTCTTGGGACCGTCCGCAACGTCCTGCACCGTCTTGGCAACCGCGGTGCTCTGCATAACTGGCTCAACAACCTTGCCATCGGCTGCAGGGAAGGTCTGCATGCTTTTCAAGAGGTCTCTGATAGCAGAGGGATCCTTTCCTTGGAAAACATCCCAAAAGGCGGCGAAGGAAGTAGGCTCAGCCGCTGAAGTGGGAGTGATCGAGTTGTCTGCGGCGATGGTAGGGGCAATGGCCAAGCTAGCCAGCATGCGGTCAGCAATTCCCTCTAAGAGGGCATGCTTCTCCTGTTCAGTTCGGGAGCCCGAGCTGTTGTTGTCGATGTTGGTAAAGACAGGCTTGCTTTCCTTGCCGTTGCCAGACTCGCACACTGGAAGAGCATTCTTGGGCGGGTTCTCCACAGTCGTGCTGTCATTGTCAGCCCAGATGCTCTGACCAAGACCAGTGCGTTGAGCTGGAGCGGGAGAATTCTCGGGCTTCACATGGTCTTGCTTGTCGTGCTCGCGGACGACAGGACCAGCAGCAGGTTGAATCTTGATGATAGAGGCTTCGGGAAGAGCGGCAGGCCGAACAGGGGCCGTGTTCTGGGAAGGAACCACACGAGGAGCAAGATGAGGCGGGATCCCAGCAGAGGTGTTGTTAGACGTAGAGGCGTTGGTCTGCTGTCTAACAGCGGGATCCAAGGAGGTAGGCTCAACACGGGCGAGATGAGGAGCTGCAGCTTGAGTAGCTGTAGAGGCTGTGTTGCCAGGAGCAGCGGGCCGACCCGCACTGCCATCGAGGAACGACTGGAGGCTCTTGTCGACCTGTTTAGGGGCTGCGTTGGCGCTAGCTGAGGCCGGAGCAGTCTTCCGACTTGACGAGAGTAGAGGCCGGGCTTCCAGATTGTTAGTAACTTGCCAACAGACAGATTGTCAGGAGACTTACTCATTGTAGTAGAGTGCGGGTTAGAGGAGTAAGGTCCAGCAGGAAGGCGGGGATCTCCTCGACTATATTCAGTCCGAGGACCAACAGAAACAGGTCCATTGCCTCCGATTCTGGAAGTGCCCCGTCCTCCGCGGCCGCGTGCAGAACCACCGCGAGAATCTCTTCCAGACTTGAAGTCTTTGCTGAGCTCTCTGGCAGCGGCCATCTGATCTACGTGTGACAGCATCTTGAGAAATCTAGTACTGGCGTTCCGTGGAATGTTGAAATAAGGCAACCGTGCTTGTCTAGGAATGCCTGCGTAGATGCCTAGACGATCTGTCAAAAGGGTCCTAAATTCTCGACAGGCAGGCTTACCTGGAGGAATGAATGATCCAACAGGACTTATCGTCGAGATAGTTGTTGAAGGATAGGAACCAACGTGAGCGACCCGGGAGTCCAAAAGCCTCCGAAGAAAAAGTCAAGACGGAAGGAACCAGAGAATCCAGCCAACAGTGCCTAGTCAGGTGTAAGCGACGCATGAAAATTGGTTGACAGTAACAGCGGTTATTCTTGCGTCACTGTGACCGGCTTGTGTTGAAGCAGGTGACAATGTCGATGATGGGGAAAGTCACGGGAGGATGAAGTGGCTCCCTAGGATCAGAAGGTACACTGCGCCTCCTCAATGTCAGGAAGGAGGGTGAGTTGTTGAAGAAGGAGGGAAGGCGCTGGGAGTTCCGCACTGCGGCCTTGACGAAGAAGGCGATCCTGAAAGACCGGAGGAAAAATCCAAAGCTCGAAGGAGATGTACTTGCCTTCCAAGATGAGAGGTTGTAGATATTCAGTTCGATCTGCACGCCCTCCGGAAGATGAAGACCGAGTAGTCCAAACGAAAGACGGATCGCGGTTGGTGCCTAGAAAGAGTTTGAAGGCGGGCGAGTAACGCGTGAGGGAGGGGGGAAGAAGAAAAGTAGGCAGGTGAAGGGATAGAGAAGGGCAGGATGTAAAATATCCAGCGGCTCGGCGGGGTAGGTCGCCGTACCAGAGGAAGCGGAGGGGCTTGGTGCTCTCAACTTGCTCTGGATAAAAGGTGGAGGGAAAGTGGAAGTAGTGGAAGGAGAAGAAGTAGTCGAGGTGGAGGAAGCAGTAGGAGGAGAGGAAGTAGTCGAAGTAGAGGAAGCAGTGGGAGGAAGGGAGGTAGCCGGGCAACCAGCCCACGATGCCTTCCTTGACTTTCAGAACTAAACAAGCGAGGGAGGAGCAATGGGCCTTCCTGTCCTGAGATGAGGTAGGCAGGTAGCCAGGGGAGCGGGGCTTGTCATGGAAGATTTTGCTCGAGAAGGAGATTCGAATAGTGGCAGACTGTGTCCTTGCCTCGGGTCAGCTGTGGAAATTCACAGAGACAAGTGGTTCTGGGTCATCGTGACAACCTGTTGGTCGATGTAGGCTTGAAAAGAGAGACCACTTACTTCGCACTTCACGTAGTAGGTTGAGCTCATGAGACATAGGCAGACAGTTGTGAACCAAAGTCCCGACGAACAAGAAAACAATAAAGCACCATGCACCTGGCCGAACCCTCCCTCGTCTGGTTAAGCACTTTAAACAAAAGGGCAGGTGGGGGAAAAGCAGATGTGCAGCTGTTTATAAAGCTGGCTGATTGGTGATGAAGCAGCACCTTCAAATGTCTTGCATGTCGTGCAGTGAGAGTATCTATATACAGAATACCCTATGTAGGTTTTGATCCAGCATCAGTACTCCCCTCTGCCTCGCCATGCTGGGTCGTCAGGCTTTGCCCGCCTTCTTCGGAATAATCTTCTCTTCTGTCTTCAACTGCATCTGCCGATACTTTGCATCTTGGGCTTCTTCGAGCCAAGCTATTCGCACGGGTGAAACGTGCTCGTTGACAAACTCGACCAATGCTTTTGACATGGGAGCACTCACGCGAATGCCGACAGATGACACTCTGGGAATGCCAAGACAGGTGCTGAGCTTGTCGCCGCAAGGCTTTGAGTATCCCACGAGTCTCGTTGCCGGCGTGGATTGGGAGTACTTCGAGGCGACAGCGACCATTTGCGGCAGTTGAGAGTTGAAAGCTGACGACTGGCCTGACCGTGCCACAAAGATCAAGGCGTACGGACTGGCGCTGCTGGGGGTGGCATCATTTTCTCTTGATGGTTGGTCTGGGCCTGACGCAAGCTTCTCGAGGTTGCGGGTGATGCTGGTCAATCCGACATCGACGAATGAGGCGATCTCTGGTGCTGGCGGCCGCTCCGTCTTGGCCGGTGCCTTGGATTCTCCGCCCTCTTCCTTTCTCTTCCTCTTAGCTGCCCGTTTGCCTTCCGATGGCTTCACATGTCTTTGACGGTGTTGGCCAATAGGCGTCAAGAGGCTGTCTGGCATCAGCAAACGCTCTCAATGCGAGGTCAAAGGAGGACCCAGGCTCCCACGACTCACCTGCAGAGAAGTTCCAGAATTGCATCCTGGTCTTCTAGTGAGATTTCAGGCCTTTGTTATTGCATGTTAGTATGGTGCGCGCGTAGGTTTGACCCAGGGATCCTACCATTGGATCGTCGAGAATGGTGTATCTACAGAGTACACCAGCTTCTTCCTCTGAGATGTAGCCATCTCACTTCTTGACTTTGTGCTTAGAACTATCTCCTGCACCGCTTATGCGGAGACGAAGGGAGGTAGAAAGACTTTGTGGCGGTGGTCAGTAGACGCTGGCTTCGAAATTCCCGCTGCTGCTAGACCGATCTGATACTCTGTTCCGTGCCTGGGAATATGGGGCGTGGCGCAGCAACTGACTGCAAAAGGTATCTGAGTTTAGCAAATGCTGTCAGTGGCAGAGGGTATGGTGAGGGCCGCCGGCATGCAGTAATACGCAAGACGGAGTCAGGCGAATAAGAGATAAAAGTAAAAATCAGCCAGGGAAAAAAGACGCGAGGCTAAATGGCCTTAGCGGCCGGTACGCCGATAAGCGAGATGCTAGCGTGGGCCTGAGTCGATCAAGTGAGAAACAAGAGATGAACAGAGGAACTCCAATTCTCGACGCCGAAGCAAGTGGCAGAAGCAGGTCATGCCAAGAACCCGACATTCCATCTCCCAGGGTCGGTGTCGATCGTGTGCACGTTTCGGTAGCCGCTGTCAGGACGCAATTTGACGTCAGCTCCGGAAGAAGAGAGGCGCATCGGCCGTTGGAGTAAGGGTGCGGCAAGGACAAGGGCAGCTCTCTACGGGCCCCGCATGAGCTCTTTCGGAGGGTGGCACGGACGACAGCGGGAGGAATGGAACCAGCCCGGTCGAGCCAGGGGCGCCGAGAGGCCGAGTGCTACCTTACGTTGGAGTCCCAGGTAGGTAGGTGACCTGAGTAATTGATGGCGGGCCGCTTGGTGGGCACCATCACGGCTTCGACATGACATGTGTGTAAGTTCAGCCCAACTCTCCTCTCAGGAGATGATGGTTTGCGGACCACGGCGAAGGGCGCCAAACGGTCCGGGTGGTCAAGAACGAGATGAAAGCAAGAGAACCGTTGTGGCATTAGATGTCTTCTTTTTTGCTCGCGAGGATCGAGAGGCAGCAATCCGCGGTTGATGTGTTGATGTGCTGCTGGCATCAGTCTGATAGTAGGAGATTCAAGATGACTTCGCTTCCTGAGTCAAAATTCAATGACTGGTAACAGAAGAGTAACGAGACCGCACATTGGTCTACCCACGGCGAATATTGATTGCGAGCAGCGTTGATTGACTTGCGCGAATGACCTTGTGAGCCAGCCGAGATGCCCAAGCGCTTTCCCAAGCTGCCACTTCCGTACCTGACTGGGCGTTCTCCGAACCTTTCGGATTGTTGCCTGGCAAGAGGTGTTCGGCTTGCCTCACACAGCGATTGGCTCGTTGGTCTCTGCGTGTACGAAGCGGACCACCGCCATGTCGATTTGACTGGCCAGCTTTTGCTGCTCACAAGACAATCTTGCACCCAAATCGATGGGGGAAAAAAACTAGGGCATCTGATAGAGGAAAAGACGACTGAGGGGTATTTCTTGTTGCCTTCAGGTATGGCTGATAATAGCAGATGGAAGGCAATGTTGACTTTTGGGCAACCTTGTAGAGTCAGCCAGTCTGATACGATGGTACGTACCCGTAGCCTCTGAGGAAGTTGACCAACCACGAGCGCTCCGAAAGTCGCCTTCTGCAAGCCACCTCCAGCTGCCTAGCCATTGACCAGAAGGGTGGGAAGCGAGACAATCATATCGTTCGTCATTTGTCCTCTTCCCCGTGCTGTCCAAGCAGGCATAGATATCCGGCTTCGACTTGCCAAAGAAAGGGACAGGCTCTTGTCCTACCACTATTGCCCACTCAGCCCTCACAAAGCCAAAGGAACAACGGCCGGCGGTTCTTTGTGCTGTTTTTGCATCATCTCTTCCTGCTACACCGACGATTGATTTCGAAAAGTAGATGGCAGCAGGCATTACACACACCCAACAAGCTGGCATCCTATTGCCGACCACACAGTAAGACCACCCACGTTGACGAGAGATTGAAAGATGTGTTCGTTGAGAACTAATGAAAAACGGTAGCAGACCAGCCCTCATCTGAAGACCACAGCTATTCGACCCTCTTCCTTGCCTCGCCTGTACCGGCACTTGGTTCGTTCCCTGCAGGTACCTTACTGCCTTCGGCCCAGCCAGTTCCACCTCAGTCAACAGCAGCTCCCCACCCAAGACCATCCGGACCGTGCTCCTTGCTCCTTGCCTGCCTGCCTACCTAGCCACGCTTGACTAAGGTACACCGTCACCCCGCACCGCCCACCGCCAAAGCCTTCTGGCGTCAACGACGCGCCAAAGAAGCTGCGCGGACGAGCTCGACGTTGCAAAGATAGGTAGGTACCTGCATCCTCATTTTCATTTGCCCATCTGCCTCTTTGCCTCAAAAGTTCCAAATTGTTCGCCCGTCTGCCTTGCCAGAGAAACAGCAGAGCAGGAGCACATGCTTACGGATACGGTTTTAGACTTATTTGCTCTTCTTTTCGTCTGCCCCCCCCTAGACCTCCTTCCCCGCCAGCTTCGTCTCCAGCTACCATTTCTGCTACGCGCTGATAAGCAAAGGTAAGGCGAAGCTCTTAGCTCCCCTACCGCGCCTACCTACCTTCACCATCCGCCACCACCCATCATCATCATCCTCCGTCGTATTAACCTGACGGGAACTGCCCGTGGTGCCTAAGGTAGCTTAAGCTACAGAGCAAGGTACTTGCTTCAACCCAAGGTAGGTTTTGCCGCCTACCCACCCGGCCTTGCCTTGCCTGCTCCCATCTCGCCTCACCACCATATCTTCCCGCCGGTCCCTTACCTCATCTTTTATCGGTGTCTCCAAACCGCAAGTGCTTCCACGTTCTCCCCCTCCCCCTCCAAAGCACAGCTCCCAGCTCTAGTGGATTCATTCATGCCCGCACTGCGTCTGAAGCACCCGAAAAAGGACGACGTGCAACCCCTGCACATTCCCCCCAAAAAGCCCACCTCCAACACAACTCGCTTGGTTCGTTGGATCTCAGCCTGCACTTCGGTATCGTCACCTCGACATCCTAGCGTCTGGCCCCAATCATTTTTTCTGGCACTTTTCGCTTTCTGAGCCACCAAGCTCTGCGCAGTCTCGTCATTTACTCAACCCCCCTCCTATTCTTTTCCAACCCCCCAATCATCGTTCCGAATACACTGCGCGACACGTCCTCCTATCCAGCTACAACCAGCAGCTCTCGAAAAAAACCCACATGCTAATTCTAGACAGCTGCTGCCGAGTCGTCTCTCGCGCCCGAGTGACGTCTCTGGAGCTCCAGGACCCGCGCTGCGACTCCTCATTGCACCAGCCAGATGGACCAGCCTACAGGATCCTCGGAAGCACCAGAACGCGCGGTCTCCTCTGAGCCCAGCTCAACGAGACCCAACCCTTTCACAGAGGACGACGACGCCTCAAGGAAGCGACGCCGTACCTCCTTGTCTGGGGGCTCCCGAAGCCGATCCGCCGAAAGCCCTAGATCCGGCCTTGATACCTCCAGCTCCCCAGCTGCAGACCTCCTCACCGACGATCACAATACTCAAGACTCCGCCATGAGGATAGATACCGGCCCCTCTACCCCGCAAACCCCAGAGATGCAGTCGACTGCCCGGCAGCCCCCGACAGAACCTCCTTCGAGCCGTGTCACGATAAACCTACGCAATCCCGCTCAGCCCGACCTGCCCTCGTCGTCTCCCGTCTCCCCGACCCGTCAGTCCTTGCCAACCCAGTCGGCCGAACCCCCGGATGGCGTCAAGAAAAGCGTTGAAGACTTGGAAGAGGAGGAGGTGGACATGGTTCAGGCTCCCATAGAAATCACGGATACCCCGCCGTCAACCTCATCGAGTATGAGCCCCGAAGTTGAGGTGATTGCCATCCCGGACGAAGAACAGGATGCCCCATTCGACGATGAGGTTAGCATCATCAGAGAGGATGCTGGCTCTCTCGATCCCCTC